AAAATAATTTTCAAGAAGCAAGTGAATGATTAAATGAGTTGTATAGTGTTAGGTTTATATCATAAATCAGAATCTTCAAAAGAAGTTTTTAACTTCAAAAACAAATCTAAAGTGCAATACAGAATGTCGGTATTCCATTATTATCTAGGGTTGCTCCTACGAAATCCTTTCAGGAAACAGGATAGCCTTTTTGAAATTAAGAATAAGACACAGATGTACAAAAAGATGTGTGTTAACTAACCTATTCTCTATAGTTGCATCTGCTCTTTAGGAGTTAGACACAGAGGTAACTCTGCCTGATCATTATCTTTTAAAATTTCCTTTTTATATATTTATAATATATAAAGCAAAATAAATTGAAGATCAAAAGGATATAACATTCCACATTAAGCAAAAGCTATCTTGGTTCTCTCTTTTTTCATACTTCCAAAATGCTCACTCTGTTATTAGAAACCATTGTGAGAAAAATAGAACTTTAAGAGTACCAATAAGCTCAGAAATGAAAGAAGGAAAGAAGCTGTGAAAACCAAGAATGACACTCTTAAGCATGAATTAGCTGCTTTTAAGCTGGATTCCTTAAGTCAAAACATCTTTCCCCATATTGCCTGATTTTTTTCTTTTATGTTAGATTATACTGTTAGAAATTCTACAAATTGGATTGTTTGGTTTCATTGGAATTCTCTTTAATCCTATTCTTAGTCAAGTTGAAGCAAGGAAAGAGCCTTGTTTTCTCTCTTGCTTTTATTTCCAAAATCTAGAATTCAAGTTAGTATTATTAGATTATATATTTAGCCCAGTGTAGATATCTTTTGTAGGAATATCCTGTGAATTTCAACATCATTAAATATGGTTGGAATGGGCAAAACTCTTCCAAAATTAAGTATACTTGATTGCATTTCTTTTCTTTCAATTTAGAGCCACATTTGAAAATGAAACCAGAGATGACTGCATAAATAATGACTACACAGTAAATATCCTTAAGCCCTATCATTTTAAATCCAAGAAAGTTAATTGAATTGGGTAGATAAGAAAAGAATCAGGGCCTCTAAAAATTTGGAGAAATTCTATCCAAAATAGGAAATAGAGGTACCTCAGAATGCTAATAGCCAGAATGGGGAAAAACCAGGAGGGAGGTCTTTCTCATTGTTAGTGCACTCAGCTGTTGGTTTTTTTTAATTGATTCAAACAACAGGGATATAGTACTTGGAAAACAAGTTGGAAAGTAGACATTCAGATGAATAGACAGGGAATTCTTTCCGGATTGAAGGAGGACAACTGGTAGGCTTAGGGAATTCATGGGACATGAAGAGTACAGTTTGATTTTTAGCTTGGAATTTTCCAAAGGGAAAACTTCTTAAAATAGTGAAACCTATCAAAGATCATGCCAGAAGAAAATAAATGCTAAAAGCTTTGAGACATTTATTTTGAAGGCTTTAGACTTTGGAGCAGAAACTTGACTCTCTTATAAAACAAAATAACAACACAAAAAATTACCATCTTCTCAAAAGTGTTACTTTCCCCACAAAAGAAAAATTCTCAGAGATGTATTTATCTTTTCTACTCCATGAAGGAAGAAACAAAGAAAAAAGTAAGAGTCTAATCAAAGGACATTCTTATTAAAAATTCTCTTTTCAGGCCTACTGGAATCTTGTAGGTATATCCCAAATAAGTGTGAAGATCTAGGGCTTCCCAAATTTTCTCTGATGAGAAACAAAAACCAGTAAGTAAGAGGGTTGAAGTGAGGAAAAAACTCAGCAGGGAAGGAAGGGGAGGGATTTAGTTCCTAGGTATAGGGAGGCAGCTTCTCATATCCCTGTTTTCCAAAGGAAAGAAGTACACCAAGACGTTTATGACATCTTTAGAGAAATACTAAATGATATTTACTCACGGGTACATACCTTGACAGAAACACAAAACTGATGTTAACATATACTAGCTTCACTAAGAAAATTATGTACCAAAATATTAGTAAATAATCAAGTATTGGCTTGTTTTAACTAAGAAATACGTATCAAATGAGGAAAACTGACAAATCAGTAGATGGAAAAATTTTTAATTAACATGTCTTAAAAATAAGTCATTTGTCAATATAGTATCACTCACTAGCTTAGATAAAATATTTCAATGACTATTCAGCCTGTTACTGTGTATATCTTTACTTCAATGCAGTCAGGCTTGGTATTATATTAGTTGATACTATTTTAAGCAGCATACCTAAAAAGAATGGTAAAACTGGAAAACCTTAATCTGTTAATTCACTAATTTAAAATCGATGCCTGCTATTTATCCTGACAGGTCAGAAAGTAGGTATCAAGATAACCAGTATATAGAAAACTGAAGAAGGATTATTATCAGGTGGAAAGGACAAAAATGACAATGTGAAAACTAGTCTTGAATGGCGCTTGATTTCTGAGAGGAATCATGAGAATGCAGGAAATATTAGCAACTTTATGCAATACATAAAAGCAAAGAGACAGAAACACATATAGCAGGTCCAACAAACAGCAATAACTGAAGCTGTAATCAGAGAGTGGTACTCAACATGGAAGGACAGAGCTGATAGCATATTTTTAGGAATTTATGCATAGGAATGGAAACACTGAATAGAGTTGAAAGAAATAGCACCGATTAAGATTATTACACCCACGCTTTGGAAAATTTTGCTCCTTTCCCCAGAAGTCTATAGAGATTTCAGAATACATTTTAGTCAAAGTATAGGCCTACGGGGTCAACAATTTATTATCATAACAATAGGGAATGTTAAAGCATGATATCAAAGTTGGATTGGATGTCCCTGTAAAGTCTTTTCTAGTACTTTGATTCTGTATTTTAATACTGTCCAAACACTATTTCTGGGAAGGATATAAAAATTTTTTGTGTATATGACCCCAATTCATTATTTTAGTTAAATATAGCATAAATCCATGAAACACTCCTACACCTGGGATTTAGGTATAAATTTGTTTGAAAATACTGTACTGCCATTTTTGGCAGAAATTTATAAAGCAGTATTATAAACTAAATCATACCTCTTTTTCTAAGCCATCCTTCTGAAATCAGCTGACAGGAAAGGAAGTTAGAGTCTTAATTTTCCAAGATCCTTTATCTTTTGACAAGCTACCATCTTTATGATTGTATTAGAGATTTTGGGAAAACACGTTGCAAAGTTATTACTTTGTGATTGGTACATGTATTTATATTATCTATTTTACTCTAACACAGTGAATTTCAGATGTCTTCAGACTGACCTTTAAAAATGGGAACTAAGTAAATAAAAACTTCTCAAATTTATGTATAGAAGATACACTACAGAAAAGAGAAAAATTAAAATGGGCTTTACTTAGTTATATAAGGAGAATTTTTACCCTCCCATTCTGTTTGTAGAAGTAACATGTTTGGTCTATCAAACCAGGCCATAAAGAAAGCTGATGATGTTTTCTATATATACAGGTTGACAATAAATTCTGCAGTTTTAATTAGCTCCTCAAAATAAAGCTAAAGTCTAAGAAAGTGTATAATGTATGAATTATATATATGCATATGTATATAATGTGTATGTATATAATTTATATATGTGTATAGAAATAGTAGATGTGTGTACGTACATAATCTATACAGCTCTGTGGAAGAAACATACTTGGGTATCAATTATTATCAAAATTTCTTATCCAATAATACATCATTAACTTTTATTAACAGTGCAGGATTTGTTTAGCATCATGTTTAACATTTTGAAAATCAAAACATTAACTTTTTTTGTTCTCAAGGATAGTGCTATTAAAAGATCTTTAACATCAGTGGTTAATAATGTTTACTTACAGAACAAAAACTTTTGATATTTCATTGTGCGACTTTAAAAGTTTATTAATATTTAATAAGTCTATTTATATTTCTAAAAACAGAATAATTAATGTGCATGGGATACTTGTATGCTATTATATAATCATATAGTCCTACTGTTCTCATGAAACCACCTGGCTGGCAAACATATTCATTATGGTTTCAAAGAAACACCCTATTTGGCTCACCAGGAAAATCTTTGGGATCTAAGTCCTATCATTTCTGCTTCTGCTGTTGAACATGTATACATTTGGGGATGGAAAAGGGGAGAGGAGAGAGATTTATTAAGGCAATGCCAATATTTGTGGATTTTCCTCTTCTGTCCTAAAATTAGGAAGTTAGTAAAAGAAAAGGCAAGTGAATGTAAAATGGATTTTTTATACTATTACAGAAATTTTAGTGATTAAAAACACTTAAGCTTTGTTCAGTAACTTTTGAACAATTTTATAAGAATTTTATGAGAATCAGAATTTAAAGTTTTCCTTTGGTGTAAGAAATAGTTTTGCTTTTTTATGAAAATAATTGTCTTTTTAAATAATAATATCTGTAATTGAATATACTGGTAACATATAAGAAGAAAAGTTCAAAAGATTAAAGCATTCAAAGAATGCCAAAATATAGTGGAATATCAGTCAGTGTTATGGGATCATATCAGAGGTGAGCCCTTCTTTTATCAAAACAATTCTATTAGGTAATCCATATTATATAAATTTTGGTACCAAATGGCTTATATTATAGGAAGGCTGCAGCATTATCACAAATATGAGAGAAAAAGTTTAATACAGTCAAATTAATCACATGAAAAGGTAAGAACACTGATCATGTTGAATTTTTTCTAATATTTGGAAAATGTTATAAAAAAGTATAAATATTACTCAAATTTTGAAAACCATGGCAGAAGCAAAATTAAATAAGGAGTAGCAGTAACAAATAAATAAAAACTTAGACAAAAGCATATTAAATGACAAAATAGCAAGTAGTGGAAATGAATCATTAAGATCAAATGTACTTCTACTAAAAGGCATGAAAGTATTAAAAATTCTATTAGAAAGGACTCATCCTAAATATTAAAATAAATAGCAAAGACTATTAAACATTACTTCTAAAAGACTGAAAGAAAGAAATAACACAAAGCAGAGAAAATGAAAGACACCTCACTATTCCCAATGTGGTTATTATTTATGGAATGGTAAAACATGTTGTAGAAAATGTCACTACAGTTAGATTAACACATAAACAAACCAACATGCCACAACTACCTAAATAGTTTTGTAGAACAGCTGAAAAAGCAAATTTCATCAAATTTAGACAGCTTATAATGGAATAAATAAGTATGGCGAGGTATTAACTAACCCTAAGTATCACAACGGGCAGCTTCTAGCCGGTTCGTTGAAGCTGGATCTCGGCCACACAAGGATCATTGGACAAGAAATCAGTTGAGCTGGACTAGAGCTGCCCAATTGTCTTAATAATGAATGCTCCACACTGTCTGTTAAGTAAAGAGAAAGAAAATACAGATCAGAAAGTCTGAACAGGAAAGAAAAAGATCGTTAGGGTAGATGAATGTAGGACATCAATGAACATTTACTCAATACTTGCAGAAAGTGTACTAATTATATTAGAGTGTTAAGAAGTGAGAGACTAGAGATGAGGAGGGCTCCAGAACTACTACCTGCTCTCTCAGAGCTTACAATCTATTTTAGACAATCTCTAATTTAGTGTCACAGTACAGTGCTTAGTATATAAAAATGAGGAACAGGTCAACACAGAAACAAGTGAGTTAAAACATTCCTTCTATTTCTGAAAACATTATTAGGTACGTTTTAAAAACATGCTTTTAAAAGGGGAATTTGGCAGAAGGCTGTGTAGAAAGTTGTTCGAAACCCAAAGGGTACCCTTGAATTTGGCAATGGTAGGATAGCCATATAATAGAGTAATTCCATATATTTGTGTCATCCTGAGATTTTTTTTGTGTGTTAAGATTAGTTTGGGGCAAAGAAACACCTAGTTGCTACTACCCTTTTGGCACTTTGTTGGTCAGCTCCTAATTTAGGTAACCAAGCTGTCCCATGACATATTTTTAAATTTTAGATAGGCTCAAAATTTTCCATATTTGTTCCAGTATCTCTAGAGCAGTATTGTCTGATAGAGCTTGTTCATGGGAAAGTTCTCTGTCTACACTGTCAAGTATGGTAGCCACTAGCTACATGGAGCTATTTAGCATTTAAAATGTGGCTAGTTGCAGTTGAGGAACTGAATTTTAAATTTCATTTAATTTTAATTAATTTAAAATTGAAATTAGCCTTGTGTGGCTAGTGGTTACTATATTGGGGACAGACTCTAGGGGTTCAAACTCATCTGGTTTGCTAAACTCTATAGACTGACCTGAATTTCTCTGGTTTGTTCAATACTGTCCAATACCACTCAGTATTGTTCATTGCTTTATTCTCAGTATCTGGAATACTGGCTAGCACATGGAGGTGGTCAATAAATATCAGGTAAATGAATGAAATTTGTGGTAATATATAGCTATTCAAGCCTGGTCAACTACTCACAGCTTATTGGCAATATGCTCTGGTACTCTCAGGAAAAATAGAGAAGTGAAGCCGAACTGTTCTATGTAAGTGGAATTGCTTGAAGACTTCATATGTCTAGGGGGAACAGGAGCAGCTTCAATATAGCTCAAAGAAAAGAACTAGAAATAGTTGTATATGAGTAATTTAGGTTGATAAGTATGGGAATACTGAAGGGAGAATATAATATTTAATGGTAAGGAATTTAGAAAGGATGTGGATAACAGTTGAGAGTGATTAAGAGGAAAAAAATTACTTCAGATTAAAAAACCTAAATTCAGATTGTATACATGACTGAAGGATGGAAACTGAATATAGAGAAGTCTCTTATTTTTTTTTAAGATTTTATTTATTTATTTGACACAGAGAGACACAGCGAGAGAGGGAACACAAGAAGGGGGAGGGCAGAGGGAGAACTAGGCTCCCCGCTGAGCAGGGAGCCCGATGCAGAGCTCCATGCAGAGCTCGATCCCAGGACCCTGGGACCATGACCTGAGCTGAAGGCAGACGCTTAACGACTGAGCCACCCAGGCGCCCCTGAATATAGAGAGGTCTTGAAGAAATAGTAATCTGGTTATGCAATAATAGAGCTTAACAAAGGGATTTGGCAATGGAAAAACAAATATTTTTATAAAGTTAGCTGAAAAGGGGACATAATATAAATAGACCATGTAGCATCAAGAGGTCAGAAAAATCACTGGTATTGTTTTGATTTTTAGGAGAGAAGAAAGATGAGCAAACTAACATTAAGAGGTATGGATTCTGAAAATAAAATGTAAAAAATTGTGTATTCGTGATTTTGAGTTAGAGGAAAACACTCATTCAGGTGTTTTTTGTTTTTTAGGGTTAAATTAGGAAGAGAATCAGAACACTAAGGTCAGAGTCACTATTAAACACTATTAAAGTGCAGAAGAAAACAGGAAAACTCCCTTATAAGACAGTTTACAGGGCAAAGGGAATAGTGCCATGATTAGTAGTTGGTAAAAGAAGAAATATATTTTTGAAAGAGATACTGAAAACTCAAACTGAATGTAAGGAAAGAGAACCACATCTGAGAATTAATAAAATTTGAACATATGCTGTTGACAGTATTAAATTTAGGAGAATCTAAGAGGATAAGAACTAGGATAAGACCCTTGGAATTTGGCTGAGTCATTAAATCTTGGCAATAAGTCTTACATGAGTTGTTTGAATAGATCTCAGTACTGAAGGAACAATAATTTCATATGGAATGGAAAAGACACCCCTATACTCTTCCTTCTTGCCTTTCCAAAACAGATAAATTTAAAATATCTTTAGTGAAATATGTAATACAAAATCCTCCTGCTTATTATCATATATCCTTAAAGTAGGGGATGATGGTATCCAAAAAGTTTCCAATTCTGTAAGCAATTAAAATTTGATAAGTTGACTCTTGTGAAAAAGAAGATGCTCATCCAAGTAATCTGTGTGCTAAGGGGAAAGAAAGAAGATTGAGCAAAATGAGAAAAAATGTCCAGTCAGAGGGAATGACAGACTCAAAATGCAAGGGAATTAAGTGCTCAAACTCAGAATGGAAATATGTAACTGGGTATGCAAATAAAATACGCTACACAATGAGATAGCTTTTCCCCCATAAAAGAAGCATTACATTGACTTAGAATACTGTATCAACTAATATCTACCTTTGCAGTGTCATTAATATATACCTCAAATTATCTTTATCCACCCTTAACCCACATTGATTAATAACTATTTTGGCTGGTAAGAACTTATGACAAATGTAAATATTAAAGTAGTCCAGAGGCCCAGGGTCAAATAGTTCATGTTAGGTTAAAAATAGATTAAAAAGAAATAATTAGGGGTGCCTGGGTGGCTCAGTCGGTTAAGTGGCAGCCTTCAGCTCAGGTCATGACCCCAGGGTCCTGGGATTGAGCCCCACGTTGGGCTCCCTGCTCAGCAGAGAGCCTGCTTCTCCCTCTCCCTCTGTCTGCCACTCTGCCTACTTATGCTCTCTATCAAATAAATAAAATCTTTAAAAAAGTAAAAAGAAATAATTAAAAATAGAAACATAAGCAAAGCATTTGTACTGTATTTCACATTACATTTTATAAGGATGCATGATCTCAGCAATGGGCTAACCCAAGAGTTGTGAAATTATGAACTTCAGGCCAAGTCTGGCCCATCTTTTGTTTTTGTAAATAAAGTTTTACTGGCACACAGTCAACTCATTGTTTATATTTTATCTGTGGTCATTTTCATGCTGCAAGTATCAAACAGTTGAGATAGAGACTGTGTAGCCTCAAAGCTAAAAATATTTACTATTGGGCCCTTTATATAAAGTGTGTTGACTCCTGCTTTAACCTGTTCAGGCTGCAAAGAAATTTTCAGGCCAAGCACTTCTGAATATCTATGAAAGAAAACCTTAATAAGATGCCTTAAATTTAAAGAGTGTATATACTCCATATTGTGGAAATAAATTATCACCAACCTCAAATATATTGGATTCACCTTGATTAAATGAAAGTCAAAATCAGACATTACAAGTTTAATAGAAATCTTGAGAGAAACTCAGAAGCTATTGAAACTAATGTTTTTGAGACTACAAAGAACAGGATTAACTAGGTACATGTTTAGATATATAAGATTAGTGAGTATCTATGCACTAGTTACCATAATGTTTAAGTTAAATCTATACTTATTCTGTTTTTTTTAAAGATTTTATTTATTTATTTGAGAGAGAGAGAGAGAATGAGAGATAGAGAGCACGAGAGGGAAGAGGGTCCAAGGGAGAAGCTGACTCCCTGCTGAGCAGGGAGCCCGATGTGGGACTCGATCCTGGGACTCCAGGATTATGACCTGAGCCAAAGGCAGTCGCTTAACCAACTGAGCCACCCAGGCGCCCTATACTTATTCTGTTTTACCATCAGAAACTGAGTTTCCTGTCTTTACAAAAGCACAAAGAACTATCTTGTAATATTGAAGTTTGTTTCTAATACTTCCAAGGCCTTGACTTTTTAACACTGGGACTATTAGTGTTTTTTAAATAGAAAATTACATTCGTTATATTTGTTGTGGTTAAGGTGTGTTTATTGAATGTGGTAAACTGTATTTGCAATGTCTGGTTGGTATTATTCCTTATCAGCCTGCTTTCTATGTCATTCCTTATCTAGTTTGAATAGTCTCAACCAGTATGGAAGACTTAAAAGCTCTTAGAATTAGGAACATGCGGCTAGAGACATTCCTCCTTGCAAAAATTTATGTTATAAGTGAAATAAAGTGACTAACACAGAGGCAAACTTTTTTTAAAATTTTTGTTTCTTCTTTCTATATATTACAGGTACAACATAGGTTTTCATAAATAGTTGCAAGAAGTTAACTGTTTTTGTGTATGTGTGCAATGGACTCCTTTGGCAGTATATTGAGGTATATGGACCCCTTCTCAGAACCAGGTTTTTAAATGTAAAATATATAGGATTATAAAGTTATATTGTAATACATTTTTATCCACAGCCTCTTTGGGGGGGTGGTCTTTGGACTAAATTAACTTTAAAACTCAATGCAGAATCTTAGTAACTCTTTTCCTTGAACTCTAAATGTAAATGATTAGAACTTTGGTTATTTTATAATACCATTAAGAAATCAGTATGTAACTTTTTTTGCTACAGAGGTACTCATGACAGCATATAGACCCCATCTCTTGGACACAATCATCATTAACATTTTGAATATAAAAAGTGACATAATATTCAGTTTGGTTATCTTAATGAATCTCAGATGGAATTTTAACATTTCAGGAAAACCAAATGCAACAAGATTCAGGTATGTATATTTAAGAGCAGCAACATGATTCTGAACTTAATTAGTGTAATTCCCTAATTCTTTTAGAGAATCTGATTGAGCTGGGATATACTATCCCTTAAAATGTATTAAGAAG